CCCAAAATCGACTATTTCCTTTGAAAATTAAGCATACTCTCCTTGATTTCTTTAATTCTGAAGTTTGTGAGTATAATTGGTTATGGCATATGCGGTTTGGGCATTTTCATTTCTCTGGATTAAACTATCTTGCGAGAAAGGAACTTGTTTCTGATTTACCTGTTGTGAATGTCCCTGATCGTATCTGTGAGATTTGTGTGATTGGGAAAAAGCATAGAGATCCCTTTCCCGTGGGCAAGTCAAGGAGAGCTACAAAACAGTTGGAGATTGTTCACTCAGACCTGTGTTCGTTGGAGGTTCCCTCACATGGAGGTTGTAAGTACTTTATTACTTTCATTGATGATTTCAGTAGAAAAACATGGGTTTACTTTCTGAAGCAAAAGTCTGAAGCATGTGATATTTTCAAACAATTTAAGGCTTTTGTTGAAAAGCAGAGTGGTTATGAGATTAAAATCTTGAGAACTGATAGAGGTACAGAATATATTGCCTGTGATGATTTTCTGAAAAAGAAGGGTATTCAACATCAGATGACAGCTAGATACACTCCACAACAAAACGGAGTGGCTGAGAGGAAGAATAGGTCTATCATGGATATGGTAAGGTGCATGTTGAAATTCAAGGATCTGCCTAAACCTTTTTGGGCAGAAGCTGTTGCTTGTGCTGTCTATGTGTTGAATAGGTGTCCAACTAAGAGTGTCCATGATAAGACGCCCGAAGAAGCTTGGAGTGGGAGAAAACCCTCTATCAAATATCTCAAGGTTTTTGGATGTTTGGCGTATGCACATGTGCCAGATCCATTGAGAAAGAAGTTGGATGATAAAGGTGAGAAATGCATATTCATTGGTTATAGTGACGCTTCAAAGACTTATAAACTATACAATCCTGAAACTAAGAAGGTTGTTATAAGTCGTGATGTCACTTTTGATGAATATGGTGTCTGGGATTGGTTAGCTAAAGATGAAAGTTCAGTTGTTATTCCTGTTGTTGAAAATATTGTTGATGAGCAACCGATTCCAGATAATGTCCAGTCTCCTTCACAGCCAGAACCGTCAGTGCGGCGATCTCAGCGCGAGCGCCACTTACCAGCTCGCTTGCAAGATTATGTTTTGGGTCATGATAATAACCTGTCTGATGAAGAGATTATTCAATTTGCTCTCTTTGCAGATTGTGATCCTTTAACTTTTGAGGAGGCTGCTACAGAAACTCATTGGCTTAAGGCGATGGATGAAGAGATACGTGTCATTGAAAAGAATGGTACCCGGAAATTAACAGAATTACCTCCTGAAAAGAAGTCAATTGGAGTCAAGTGGCTTTACAGAACGAAATACAAGTCAGTATATCCAACTTGAAGACGGAGACATTTCTTAAATTGAAGAAGGAGATATTGGGATGACCAATATATCCAACTTGGTTTAAAGGAGGCAATGTTATAATAATAATAATAATAATAATATTATTATTATTAGTAATGGTTAAACCAAGTATTAAATTAGTTTGTTATGAATAATGCATGGATGCAGTAGGTGGGTTATGCATGGTATCACTACATAGATTGTGGCCTTAATTGTAGCTTTACATGGAGCATTACTCCTAATCTTTAGCTTTATTAGTGGTTATCTTTTAGTATAAATAGGTTACTATTGTTCATTCATTAATCATCAATCAAGTTATATATTCCTCTCTCTCTCTTCTCAATATATAAATATAATATATAGATATTATATTTAATATATATTATAGATATATTATATTATATTTAATATATATATTATATTTAATATATCTAACAAGGGCCCCCCACACCTCGACCCGACAGAGCATTTGGAAAGATGTAAATCATGGTAACTCAACTGAATATGAACCACAGAGGCTAGACCTGTATTCACTGCGTACAAGGAACCCCTCACTTTGAGAGGTGTTCCATTATTATTGTTATTATTATTATTATTATTATTATTATTATTATTTGGTGCTACTGAAGACGCATACAACGTCCTATCTGTCCTAGACGTCCAGGCTCCATTAGCATCAACTAAAAGGAGGTCTTTGACGCAATCTGGAAAATAACCAATAGACGTGATGCCTCAGTCTATCTCTTAAGCCATGCTAGCAAGGTGATCTGCACACTTGTTCCCTTCCCCCGCAATATGGGAGAACTGAACATTATTAAAGCGCTTAGCCAAATACTTATAGTCATTGATGAGCTTGACACTCCTCCATCTTCCTGCTCCCCCATGATCGTCACCACCGCTGCCGAATCCATCTCAGCCCAAAGTTTGGTGAACTCACTCCTCAAGTTGAGCCCTAGACCATTCCTTGTTATTCAAGCATAGATTGCACCAGCACGCAGTAGTGTTTAACATTGTTATTTAGCTATTTCTGTATTAGTTAATTACAGTTTTACTCACCTTTATAACTTAATTAATTTATGAAATTTGATACTACGTATTTAATTTTTAAAGAAATGTGACTTTTAATCTTCAATTTTTTTTTAATTTTTGTACCATATTTGATTTATATAACTTTGATTAAAGGCAATAATAAATTTTCAATATAAAAATTGAATTTTAACCTTCTCGTAGTTGTTAAACCGTGGTATTCTCTTTTGCTATCTTTATAAAACAAGAAGATCAACTTTATTAATTAATTAAGCATATAGGGAGGTGGTATGTAATAGAAGGAAAATCAATCACCTAAGAATGGTAGATTTTAGTTTCAAAAAAAAAAACAAAAAAAAAAACAAAAAACAAAAAAAGAATGGTAGATTTTGTTTAAAAAAAAGAAAAAGAAAAAAAAAACCAACTTGGATTGTCTATTAAAAAACAAAAAGAATGGATAGAGATATAGATTTTAAAACTAGGGATGACAATTCTACCCGCACCCAATGAATTTTCTATATCTTCACCTTTATGGGTTTTAAAATACCCACACAATTTGAGTAATGAGTCTCGGTATGTGGGAATTTTGTATACTCGTGCGGGTATGGGAGCGGGTGTGGAGAGGTATCTCATCCCCATACACGCACCCGCACTTATATATATTGTTATTAGTATTCATTTATTATATAAGTTTATATATATTTTATAATTAAAAATGCATAATGAATTGCAACGCGGCAATAACACAAATAACATGAGTAAACACTTAATACAATTTATACTATCAACATAATTTTAGTTCCAATTAATGACTAATTTTATTTTAGCTCTTATTAAATTTTAGAGTTAAATATAATATTAATAATTAGAGTTGCAGGTTGGGTATTATCCACACCTGCATGTTATCCAAAGGGCCCCACCGCCCCACGTAGCAGTTCTACAGCTGCTGCTCCACAGGCTTCACAGCAGGTCTTCGAATGGTAGACGCTAGACTTCAATCGCAAAATGACACAACTTATGGATTCATCACCATCACATCATCTCAAGGGAATTTTCGAGTAGCTAAAAATGGTACATTACGGTGTGTTCAACATCCTTGGCGGATTCAGAAAATTATGTAAATGAGAGCATACTTAAAATAATTTTAGAATTATTAAATGACAAAATATCAAACACTTATAATATGGTTCAAATCATAAGCGAACCTAGTGTGGGGACAGCTGCCCCCACTCCCCCACCCCACCCCTATATATATATATATATATATATATATATATATATATATATTGATAATATCAATAGTTTAAGTAGCTTAGTTGGTTGAACTCTAAATTTTATATTATAAAAGATTTATCTCATTAGCAATACTTTTAATTATTTTCTCTCTTTCATTTCTTCACAAGATAAATTAAATATTTTTAGTCTACTTTTTATGAATCATTTAATTAACAAATTAAATGCTCTTTTAGTCTAGTTTTTATAAATCATTTAATTAATATAGTATACAAGTTTATAGTATACTTTATTGTATTCGAATTAATTTAGAAAAATCGATCTAACTAAAAGAAATTAAAATTTAAAAGTATATATGAATATATTGTTATTCAAATTCTTTTATCTAATTGGTTATGTTTCATATTTTCTCATAAATATATTGTAATTTATAATGTATTTTGTATTTTAACTTTATTATGGTTGTTTGATATTGTCATTGACATTTTTAACGCCATTTAATATTCACCCCCCACTCAGAAGATTTTATGGGTCCGTCATTGTACACACATAATTGTGCTTCTTACTATAATTAGTATTGATGGAGTTATATGCAACCACAGTTGTTTGTGGTTTCTTCTCCGTTTCTATCAGGGAGGATCCAGAAATCTTTTCCCGTGGTGACGAAAGATTGAAACTAATGATATATTTTGAAAATAAAAATGATACACTTGGGCTGAGCCATAAATATTATTGACTATGCATGAAAAACCAAAATATATCAAAATGCAATAAAGAAAATATTCAAAACAAAATATGAAACATAATTAATTAGATAAAATAGTTCGAATGAAAAACACATTATAAATTACTCGTCTCACTATTAATATTTAAAAATTTAAAAAAAAAAAAAAACAATGTTACAAATAAAAAATCTAATTAGAATATCAAATTTAGAAAATCCGTGTTTTTTTTTTTTGGATTTGAATCTTCACATTTATTTAAGATGAAAACAATATAACTTACCATTTAAGCTAGCTCAACATTTGTTAAAATTTAGGCATAATTAGTAGGTATACATGTTTACTATGTATATACATAAGGGACCTATATATAATGTATATAAAGGGGATGGGGGTGGGGGGTAGCTACCTGCATTGCCCCACTGAGGATCCACCCTTGATCCCCATATTAGTAGATTTTTTAGTCCCATTGTCAATAGGCTCTTGGTATTCATATCAACAAATGTCTAGGCTCCAATATCAATGGGTTTTCAGTTTGACGGTCTCGATATCAATGGACTTTCCAGTCTTGATATGAGAAGACTTCTTGATCTTGATATTAGCAAACTTTTTGATCATCGCTACTAGACAAGTCAACTTCACCATCATTTAATCCGCTACCACATCAACAACTTACATGTGTTATTTTGAGACGCAATGTAAATGTATGAGGTAGTAATGACTTGTTAGTTGTTACTACTTTGAATACTTAGTACGAGAAACTGAGAGGCTAAGGGTCTGACCATAAGATCGAGAAGTTCCCATTAATACAATATAAGTTGTAAGGAATCAAAAGCATTTTTTTCTCCTGGTATAAAGAGATTGATTCCTTACTGTTGGGTAATATGGTTGTAAAATCCCAAAATAATAATAATCCTACGGAAAGATTAATATTATGTGGGAAAACAGAAAAACAGGGAAGGAAAAGGTTGAGTGTTTGGGTAAAGGATTTAGCACGAGTTCGAACACGAAGTTCTTTTCCTTAAAACCTTATTTGCTACCTCCCACAAGTGCTAGGAGCGTTGTAGCCTAGGTTTCCCAGGATAAAACGTGCTACGATTCCTTGTTTAAGCACCTAAACAAGGAACCCAGCAAACAAAGCACAGTATGAACACTGTTGGCAAAAGAAGAGAGTAGAAGCAGAAGTTTTGAAGCTGAAAACTACTGGATTTCCTTAGTTTCGTGTACTGTGTAAAATGCTACTGCTTCTACCTCTCTTTATATAGGGATGTTGGAGTGATAGCATTCAACATGGCCTTTAATTGGTATTAAACCAATTGTATAACACCTGTAACGGTCACCCACTAAGTAGGATTAAACTCAGAATTTAAAATTGGAATTAAAACAGTATTAATTCCGTAACAGATGAGTTTAATCTGTACAACAGGCTGAACTTTCGGGTTTCAGACCGTTGGGGTGCAGGTTGACACGAGAGCACACGAACCAGGCAACACGAGAGTACATCTCTCGTGTGCACTGTGGTGCAACCCGAGAGTGCACTACTCTCGTGGTCACAGATGCACGAGAGTTGTGCTCTCGGTGCACCACAACCTCTCGTGCTACACACGAGAGTAGGTGCTCTCGGTTCGGTTCTGGCCGAACCAAGTGACTATACCAGATGGAAAATGATACCGAAGTTAGGCATAACTTAGCCCGCAAGGCCAGCCCATTTTCGGTCGACATTCGTGCCCGCAGGTGCCGGCGCACGCGAGCTCGGGCTTGATTTTAAGCCTTTTTGATGTCCTCTAGTTGGATTTTGATTTGCACCCCCCCCCCCCCCCCCCCCCGCGAGAGAGCCTCTATGCTATACAATTCTACAAGATTGAAAAGAGCTCATGTATATAAGGGGGGCAAATCTTGTTTCCAAACCAATGTGGGACAAAGTCCTACATTTTCCCTTCATTTCCCAACTTAAATGGGTCTACTTTGAGAATCAATATCTCATTCACCCATTATCCGTTTTGAGCGTACAATATATCAATCTCTTCGTCTTACTACGAAGAATCCGAATCCACTTTGTCCCGACCCAAATCGGAAGTGGACCCCACTGATAATTGTACCACAAAATAGCCACTTAATATGCCATTTTATGCCATTTTAAGCTAATTTTTCCAACAATCCCCCACATGAATGAAAATTGATTTTCGGGGTAGTTTTAAAACGGAAACAACTATGTTCAACGGTCGATCCCTGCATAGGATAGGTAGGGTCACACCCTTTGAACCTTCCCTCGTGAAGATACATTTACTCTACTGACTGTACGGTAGAACGCGATGTCTTTGAACCGACTGCCGTTTGTGTAGACGATGACATATCTCACACAGGAACCTCCCAACCATGCTTTGTTCTCATGATTGTGCCCTTTTTGGTCGTGGGTCACCATTCTTGGTTCTGCAAGAGTTTGTGAAGAATTATGCCCGTTAATTCTCCTTTGAAGCGACCCTCACTTCTCTCTCACATAGGTGATTCTTTCCCGAGTATCCCGCATACTCACATATGTCAACCGACATTCGAATCACTAAAGCATTTAACATGCTAACCTTGTACGGGAGCCACTGTTTCTAACGAGGAGTGGTAGGGAATCCGAGACCCCCACAGTGACACGCTCCGTTCCATAATTTAGTTGTCCCATTGAACCTAGGTGCCAGCTAGGTTGGGTGTCCACTATAGAACTTTATACCAAGGGCTTTAGACCCATTCCTCGTCTCAACTTCTCCACAGCTACTCTACATAACCCTTTGGTTAGCGGATCCGCTATATTGTCTTCTGACTTTACGTAGTCAATCGAGACAACACCAGTTGTGAGAAGTTGTCTAATGGTATTATGTCTACGACGCACATGTCTAGACTTACCATTATACATATGATTCTGTACTCGTCCAATTGCATCTTGACTATCGCAATGCACACACATTGGAGGTACAGGTCTTTCCCAATTAGGAATATCCTCTAAAAAATGGCGTAGCCATTCAGCCTCTTCGCAACATTTGTCCAAGGCTATCAGCTCAGATTCCATCGTGGATCTAGCTATCACGGTATGTTTAGAGGATTTCCATGCAACGGCTGCACCGGCTAGTGTAAACACGTAGCCACTCGTGGACTTGGAGTCCTTAATATCGGATATCCAGCTAGCGTCGCTATACCCTTCAAGTACAGCAGGATATCTCCCATAGTGCAGTCCAAGGTCTCGAGTATACCTTAAGTATCTCAGAACCTTCACTATTGCCGTCCAGTGCATGGCACCGGGGTTACTCGTATATCTACTGAGTTTACTAACCGCAAAGGCAATATCCGGCCTAGTACAGCTCATTAGATACATCAAACTACCAATAACCCGAGCATATTCTACTTGAGAAATACACTCTCCGTGGTTCTTGGTTAGATGAACGCTTCGATCTAATGGCGTCCTAGTCCCTTGATGATTATCCTTGTTAAATTTTTCAAGGATTTTATCAATATAATGTGATTGGCTTAACACCAGACCATCAGGTCTTCTAATGATTCTAATCCCGAGGATTAAATCAGCCAAACCCATATCCTTCATGTCAAATCTCGTATTTAACATGTTTTTTGTAGACTTAATCATTCGATCGTTACTACCAACGATGAGCATGTCATCTACGTATAAACAAAGAATGACATAACCGTCTATCGTTTCCTTAACGTAGACACATTTGTCACTTTCGTTTATTTTAAACCCATTAGTTAACATCGCATGGTCAAACTTCTCGTGCCATTGCTTAGGCGCTTGTTTTAAACCATATAGCGATTTAACCAACTTACACACTTTCCTTTCTTGGCCCGGAACCACGAACCCTTCGGGTTGTTCCATATAGATTTCCTCATCTAACTCGCCATTTAGGAAAGCGGTTTTAACGTCCATTTGATGAACTTCCAAATTCCGCAGCGCGGCTATAGCAAGTATCATTCTAATGGAATTTATTCTCGTCACGGGAGAATACGTGTCGAAGTAATCAAGGCCCTCGCGTTGCCTGTAACCCTTGATTACAAGCCTAGCCTTATACTTCTCGATGGAACCATCGGCTTTCATCTTCCTTTTAAAGACCCACTTGGATCCTAAGAGTTTACTACCCGGAGGAAGATCAACAAGTTCCCAAGTGTGATTCTGTAAAATAGAATCCACTTCACTTTTAATAGCCTCTTTCCACATTGGTCCTTCTGTAGAAGTCACGGCTTCTCCGTACATTCGAGGCTCGTTTTCTATCAAACAAGATAGAAAATCGGGTTCATTTTCTAATAAACAAGTTAGAGTACTCGAATCGTACTCCAATAAGTAAGTTAAAAAATCTGGACCAAATGATTTTCCAACTCTCGCCCGCTTACTGCGTCTTGGCTCGAGCTCGGGTTCTCTCTCGGATTCCCTACTATCATTATCCATAGCTTCGTCAAACGTTCGTTTTGACGAACTCGGTCCCTCATTGGACCTACAGGGAAATACATTTTCAAAGAAAGATGCATTCCTTGATTCTATTATCGTGTTCTCGTGTACGTCCGGATTATGGGACTCGTGTACTAAGAACCGATAAGCACTACTATTATGTGCATAGCCAATAAAGATACAGTCCACTGTCTTAGGACCTATCTTTACTTTCTTAGGTGTTGGCACCAAAACTTTGGCAAGACACCCCCACACTTTCAGGTACTGGTAGGAAGGTTTCCTACCGTTCCACAGCTCATAAGGAGTCTTATCAAGCTTCTTGTGGGGTACCTTATTTAAAAGGTAATTACTTGTCAAAATAGCCTCACCCCACGCGTCTTGAGGTAGGCCCGAACTTATAAGCATCGCATTCATCATATCTTTCAATGTACGATTCTTTCGTTCGGCAACACCGTTCGATTGAGGTGAGTAAGGTGCAGTACGCTCGTGTATTATACCTACACTCGCACAGAAGTCACCAATAGGTGCTTCGTACTCACCACCTCGATCGCTTCTAACTTTCTTAATCTTACGATTAAGTTGGTTTTCAACTTCATTCTTATAAAGAATGAATTTTTCCAAGGCTTCGTCTTTGCTTTTAAGCAAATACACATAGCAATAACGTGTGCTATCATCGATAAACGTGATAAAATATTTATTACCACATCTCGTTTGTATCGATCTAAAATCGCACAAATCACTATGGATTAATTCAAGTGGTTCAGTTTCCCTTTCAACCGATTTGAAAGGTACTTTCGTTAATTTTGCCTCAACACAAATTTCACATTTGTTATTTGTGTTAATTTGAAAATTAGGAATATGGTCCATGTTAATTAATCTACGTATAGAATTATAATTAACGTGACCTAGTCTACCATACCACAAATTGGAAGACTCAAGCAAGTAAACGGAATTAACTTTGCTCTTATTCATGATAATAGGCATTACATTGAGCTTAAAAAGCCCATCAGTTACATAACCTTTGCCTACAAACATTCCTAACTTAGACAAAACAACCTTGTCTAACTCGAACACCATGCGAAAGCCATGCTTGTTCAACAGTGAGCCAGACACCAGATTCTTCCTCAGCTCTGGAACATACAGCACGTTGTTCAACGTCAGTTCCTTCCCGGAAGTCATCTTCAGAACCACCTTGCCCACGCCTTCCACAGCAGACTGAGCAGAGTTTCCCATCCAAACCTTCTCGCCCTCAACGATCTCAAAGGTGTTGAACATTTCTCGGTTGCAACACAAGTGCCTTGTTGCACCAGTGTCGATGAACCACTCTCGTGGGTTAGAGTCCACGAGGTTCACCTCGGTCACCATAGCCGAAAGGCTAATCTCGACCTCCTTCTGATTGCTTTCCTCAACCATGTTGGCTTCAGAACTCTTGTTCTTCTTCTTTGGAACTTTGCACTCAGAGGACTTGTGGCCAGTCTTGCCACAATTGAAACATTTTCCATGAAATTTCTTCTTGGTAATGCCTCCTTTCGGACCTAGCTTTTGCTTGTCCTTCTTGTTCTTCTTGGAGTTCTTAGCATGTTCCACAACATTGGCTTTAGCGCCAACAGTGACAGAATTTCTGCCATCATTCGTCCTGTTCCCCTCCTCAATTCGGAGTCGCTGGATCAGGTCCTCCAGGTTCATTTCCTTTCGTTTATGCTTAAGGTAGTTCTTGAAGTCCTTCCACCCTGGAGGCAGCAGGTGGATAACAGATCCCACTAGGAAGGCTTCACTCAACGTCATGCCTTCGTCACGGATTTCATCAAAGATTAGTTGTAAATCTTCAACCTGACTTAGCACGGTTTTGGAATCAACCATTTTGAAGTCAAGGAATCGGCCAACCACAAATTTCTTTGCGCCGGCATCCTCACTTCGGTATTTATGATCCAAAGCTTCCCACAGCGCTTTCGCTGTGCCAATCTTGCGATATACATCGTATAACGCATCACATAATCCATTTAGGATGTAGTTTCGGCATAGGAAGTCCGAATCCTTCCAATAGCCAACTGCCATTACGGATTGGGCATCCTGTTCCCTTAGTTCGGGAACCTTCTCAGTCAAAAATCTCGCCAAGCCGAGAGTTGCTAGGTAGAACAACATCTTTTGTTGCCACCTTTTGAAATTCAATCCAATACCGGTGAATTTCTCCGGTCTTTCGGCCGAACCACTCGGTACCGTAGGTACCCGAGTCATGGGAATATATCCCTCGGTGCTCCCACCGTCTTGTGAACCAACGTTCACTGGTGTAGCCTAAGAATTAGCAACATTATTGCCATTCCCACCACTGTTGTTCTCAACAACATTCTCCTCCCCGAGAGCGGGCAAAACTGGATTCTCCATTTCTTCTAGGAAATTAGAGATGAACAACCAACGGGAAACGTTTATAAGGTTTTAAGATTGTTGGGAAATATGGTTGTAAAATCCCAAAATAATAATAATCCTACGGAAAGATTAATATTATGTGGGAAAACAGAAAAACAGGGAAGGAAAAGGTTGAGTGTTTGGGTAAAGGATTTAGCACGAGTTCGAACACGAAGTTCTTTTCCTTAAAATCTTATTTGCTACCTCCCACAAGTTCTAGGAGCGTTGTAGCCTAGGTTTCCCAGGATAAAACGTGCTACGATTCCTTGTTTAAGCACCTAAACAAGGAACCCAGCAAACAAAGCACAGTATGAACACTGTTGGCAAAAGAAGAGAGTAGAAGCAGAAGTTTTGAAGCTGAAAACTACTGGATTTCCTTAGTTTCGTGTACTGTGTAAAATGCTACTGCTTCTACCTCTCTTTATATAGGGATGTTGGAGTGATAGCATTCAACATGGCCTTTAATTGGTATTAAACCAATTGTATAACACCTGTAACGGTCACCCACTAAATAGGAATAAACTCAGAATTTAAAATTGGAATTAAAACAGTATTAATTCCGTAACAGATGAGTTTAATCTGTACAACAGGCTGAACTTTCGGGTTTCAGACCGTTGGGGTGCAGGTTGACACGAGAGCACACGAACCAGGCAACACGAGAGTACATCTCTCGTGTGCACTGTGGTGCAACCCGAGAGTGCACTACTCTCGTGGTCACAGATGCACGAGAGTTGTGCTCTCGGTGCACCACAACCTCTCGTGCTACACACGAGAGTAGGTGCTCTCGGTTCGGTTCTGGCCGAACCAAGTGACTATACCAGATGGAAAATGATACCGAAGTTAGGCATAACTTAGCCCGCAAGGCCAGCCCATTTTCGGTCGACATTCGTGCCCGCAGGTGCCAGCGCACGCGAGCTCGGGCTTGATTTCAAGCCTTTTTGATGTCCTCTAATTGGATTTTGATTTGCACCCCCCCCCCCCCCCCCCCCCCCGCGCGAGAGAACCTCTATGCTATACAATTCTACAAGCTTGAAAAGAGCTCATGTATATAAGGGGGGCAAATCTTGTTTCCAAACCAATGTGGGACAAAGTCCTACATTTTCCCTTCATTTCCCAACTTAAATGGGTCTACTTTGAGAATCAATATCTCATTCACCCATTATCCGTTTTGAGCGTACAATATATCAATCTCTTCGTCTTACTACGAAGAATCCGAATCCACTTTGTCCTGACCCAAATCAGAAGTGGACCCCACTGATAATTGTACCACAAAATAGCCACTTAATATGCCATTTTATGCCATTTTAAGCTAATTTTTCCAACACTTACAACTTATATTGTATTAATGGGAACTTCTTGATCTTATGGTTAGACCCTTAGCCTCTCAGTTTCTCGTACTAAGTATTCAAAGTAGTAACAACTAACAAATCATTACCACCTCGTACATTTACATTGCGTCTCAATATAACTAATAAATAGCATAGACCAAACCTGTATACCTAGGTCCATTTTCTCCATCAAGTATATATCATATGCTTGCATGCTTCTAGATTGGTTTGAAGGAAATTTTCTTTGTAATAATCCTTTCTCATAATGTGAGATGAGAAACCACGTACATACAGTATACACTGAATATGGGAGTGAGGTCGTGTTTGGATTGGGACCTTACATTTACTTGCTCATTCAATCGAATTTGACTGATTTTGAACTTATAATTAAGAGTAGAAAAACACAATATGCAAAGGACAAAAACAAAAAGTAATTGATGTTGGAAAAATTGCTTGTATTCTATAATATTTTGAGATACAACAAAAAATACAGAAGAATAAGGCCGGGAACATAAACTAGATCATTTGACATCTTCAGACGTGTACTCAATTTTTTATAAGTCTTTAATCTCGCTTTGATAAGCAACAGGGATATTCGATTAAAACTTATGAGATTCAAGAAGATATACAGAAATCACGGGCTGCTCTGCCAAGAATTTCACTGTTAAGTTGTGTAACTAAGAACTTTATCTAAAGATATATTCTCAAGTGTGTACTGCAGATAATACAGGAAAAAATGGCAGCAGTGATGAAATAAACTTTTCATCTCTCAAACTTTTATCAGTGTAAAACTTTTCATCTCAGACCTCTCTTAGAGTACTTGTCTGACTTTTCTAAGATCTCCCCCCCCCCCCCCCCCCCCCCTCAGATTGCTCTCAGACCACTCTAAGATCTTATATCTCATATTCTTTTCCATGTATCTCCAAGAATAAATATATAAACATATATATGAGTTACTACTGAGCAAGGTTCTCGAGTATAGTGGTCCCGCCACCTATGGTCCTAAACTTCCAAATCAACCCTTTGTGATCCTCCAAGTTTCAAAATTGACCTGCCATAGTCCTTCCGTTAGTAATCTCCGTCTCAACCGTCAAATGAAAAGGCATAAACGACTTTTCACGTGCTGCTCACCCAAAACAATTCATTTCGCGATCTGAAATTAAAACTACCCCAACCTAACCTTAATCTCTCTCCATCCCTCATCTGGTGGAGCTCTGCCGTGACCGCCGCCCCGCTTTGCTGCAAATTCAGCATTTTCAGGTTATTACCAAATCTTTCTCAATTTCAATTCCGTGCCTCCCTCGCCCTCTTCACTTGTGGCCACTGATTTTGTTGTTCTTTAGCTATCATGAACTAGAGGTACGGGAATGGAGGGCCGAAGCTGGACTTGAAGCTAAACCTATCGCCGCCGAGGATGGCCCCCCTGCCGGTACACAGGGGAATAAAAATCGACAGTACACAAAGGAATAAAAATCAAACCCAAAAGATAGAGAAAACACAATTTAGCCGCTCATGACACATCTCAAGCTTGCCATCTCTTTGGAGTCTACATAGTTGGCTGGAATCACAATATATAAAGAGTAGGGATAATTGAAGAATACAGAGGATCTTAGCCAAAAAAATAATTTTGAATATATTAACCAAAAAAATGTAGATAAGGTTTGCACCTTTTTTGTGGCACACCTAAAAAAAAATGAATAATATGAGAATCAATTTCTCAAGCATATGCATACATGGTTGTAAAAATCGGTCTAGGCGCCCGCCTAGGCGCTAGGCGCCTCTAGACAGTGGCGATTTCCCCTCTAGGCGCCCGCCTAGCGCCTAACTCGGTCGATTTGGCTGCCTAGCGTCTAAATTAGTCGAGTTAACTCGTCCATTTCAGTCGAGTTAACCTGATCGGCTCGGCCTATTTTATTATTATTATTATTATTATTATTATTATTATTATATATATATATATATATATATATATATATATATATTTGTGTGTGTGTGTATGTGCGCGCGCATACATATATATAATATGACATATATACACTCGTAGACTAGTTTGATACTTTGAATCTTTGGATGATTGAAGTATTTGAGTATTTCATATTTGATTAAATGTTGAAAGCAACCTCATTAAAATTGTCAAACGGCAAGTCTATCACTATTTTTTTGGCGCCCGCCTAGACTCCGCCTAGGCACTAGGCACTGTCCGGGCGCCCGACTAGCACCTAGCGCCTACTGCAACCATGTATGCATATCATCAAAATTACAGAAATACAAGATGATGAAGATCGCAAACTCAAAAATGCAAAACCAAAAAAGAAATTCAGATCGGAACATATCGTTTCATAGCCAGTTTGGCGGTAACTCCCAAGCCAACAACCACGCTGCCGATAACTCCAGCCATAGCCGCCCTGTAAAGCGCGCCAGTCCCTAGCCCCGCCAGCACGCTGTTGATGACAACATTCGTGTCTCTAACTACCACCATGCCACTCTCCATCCCAACATAAAAGCAACCCTATGACACTCGTCCGGTTACCAAATTTGCGACCGTTGAGACCCGGGCTCAGAGGCTTTGGCTCCCACATAAAACCCCTTAGGACATCCTCAATAATGTGAAGATTTTGAGTGGGTTTGATTAGGAAAGAGAAAATGGGAGAAAAAAAATAAAAAAAAAAAAACAAAACAAAATAAGAAAAAAATAAAATCAGAAATTAGAAAATAAAAATAAAAATAAAAAATTAAAGCTTAACACGCCTGCTGGGCATGCTATTTCTGCGCAACGCGCACAGTTGCGTAACAAAAAAAAAAAAAAAAAAAAAAAAAAAAGGATGGGACCACATTTCCGACAAAATCTCCATTTTACTGCAAGCAACTCATTTTTTTCTCTCACTTCATCCTCTCCAATCCACCTCACTCAACATTCCTCAAAATCTGGTCCAAGATCCCCTAATGGGGATGCTCTTAGCACCCCCGAAGGTGGCGCCGTTGAGCTAGCCAATACCAGTATAATAGGTGAGGTTTTCGCGGGGGAGAGATTAGGGTTATCAGGGTTGGGTAATTTTAATTTCTAATTTGTTTTGGTGGAGTAAAAAGTGAAAAGTCGTTTATGCCCTTACATTTCACGGCTGAAACGGAGATTACTAACGGAAGAACTATGACAGGTCAATTTCGAAACTTGGAGGATCACGAAGGGTTGATTTGGAAGTTTAGGACCATAGGGGGCGAAAGCACTATACTTGAGGGACCTTGACTGTATTAACTCAAACATATATATATATATATATATATATATATATATATATATATATATATTCAACCTCTCAGGAGAAGTTATCAAGAATTTCCCGTTTGCTTTAGCCAATCTTGATAACAAAAAACCCGTGTTTCTTGTTCTGTAACTTTCCCTTTTGCAGCTCTGTGGTTCAAAGAAGGAGAATTATGCGAATGGACACTAGCTCAAGAACCGTGGTTGATAGAATTGTGCCATAATCGGTTTTGCAGTTCCAATCAACGCGAGATGCAGTGACTTGTTCGTTGAGATATGTTAGTTTGTTTCAAACTGACAATACACCATTTCCTCTCAATAAATTTTTTTAGGATAAGGGACAAAGGATTTAATTCCTCAACTCCCTTTCTGATTGAATTTCACTTATTCTTGAAACCTACATTATATCAAATTCTCAACAGTATATACTATTTCATTGAAGTAAAAACAATATTGTTTTTTTTTTTTTTTTGTTTTTGCTTGTTGGTACATTCCTATGCTGTAAATTTTGACAGGCATAAGCACAAGCTGGATATTATGAATTTGTTGTTGTTTTGTAGACAAGAAAATCAGCAGATTTAGTGGTACAATCACTTTGGAAAAGATGAACATTTAAAGAGAGGTTTAGAGCTGTGTTTGATACAATTGCAGTTGACAAATGAATCATTCTAACATGTTTTAAAACCGCGACCCGGCCTATAGTGAACGAATAAAAGAAAGTTGCAGAATAATAAGTTCCGAGTCTTGTATCACTGATAACTAGTTGGAAATGATCTCTCCGCTCTGCACTTTGGGCTATTTACCCCTCCCTGATAGGTTTCTTAAACCTAGAAGTGAAGCACTGAGAAACCATCTGACAGCCTAAAGAATGACATAAATTCGTATCCAAACAATTAATTGGCTATTGCTTTCCTCCTTCAGATTCTGTAACTTGTTTCTCATTGTTATTGCTATCGTTGCCGCTCTGCATTTCAAGCAGTTTCTCTTGTTCCTCCTCCTCCCCTGTTTGTGGACTCTCTTTCACACCCTTTGGTTTATTGCTTGTTGATTGTTGGTACATGATGCCACCAGACATGCATATCAAGAGCCCCACTGTTCCAATAAGAGTAGAATGTTTGTCCCAAACAACAAGATTTATAACAACTGTCAATAGCTTGTTAACTATGCCGAGAACAGTAAATCCAGTGGCAGAGATGGCCTTGCGACAGGAGAATCCGAAGAAAGAAATGGATAAACCAAACAAGCATGAGAGCCCTACGGGCAGGACCACTTGAAAACTATACCAATCTGATTCCTCCTTATCATGCTTAATTTTCTTCAATTCCCCCATTATAAGTAGCTCAATTGGAAAAAGTAGCAGTGCCTCGAGGTTGTTGTACAGCACAAGACCCCATGTGTTCAACCCAATTGTCATAACAACGTGCTTGATGTAAACAAAGTCAATGGACATGCTCACTAAGTAGGCCAATGCCCAGCTATAAGCAGCGAGAGTGAACTGGTAATCTGTCATGACATAAAGCACGCTACCAGCAAAGATGGTACCAAGTGACAACCATGTCTTAATTGTTGGCCAAGGCTGGTGGAGAAAGAGGGTCTCTCCTATTGCAACAAAGATGGGGACTGCTGATCTGAAGACAATAAACGTATCAACATTGGCATGGAGGAGAAGTTCACTGTTTGTAAAAAGAGAGAGGTAGAATATAATCGCTGCAGGTAGAAACCGCCACAATGTCAAAAGCTCAAGCTTATCGTGTTCTAATAACTTGAGACACCCACAAATGAGAACCCCAGCTGCACTCGTGAAATACTGCAGGGCAGTCAGTGCACCTGGGTAAGGGAATTTCATTATGGCCCACTTGTTTATGATAGACAACAAAGATGCTGAAATACAGTACCCGGCAGCTACGCCATAAACCGATGCTCGTTGAAGTAAGTCGTTGTACCAGGTTGACTGGACATCATGCGAAGGAGGTGGAGGAGTAGCATGAAGAGACTGTGCAGTACTCTTGCCTTTAGGATTTTCCACATCATTCGACATCTGAATCTAATGCATGAGTTTAAAAAAAAAAAAAAAAAAAAAAAAGGTTTTGTTATTCATCTTAACAATCACATTCGTTTAGAAACAAAAGTAGTTAAGCTAGAAGAGTAAAAATCCAAATACACGCTGATAAACTCTTTCTTATCTCTATCCTACTTATATCTACATTTGATGTCAAGGCAACACTACAACCATCCCCCATCCTCCCTGAAGGGGAGCCAAATACGAGATTGATTGTTATAGGAAACAAGGAGGGCGGAGCCAGGATTTTTCTTCAGTGAAGGCGAAGAAGCAAAGGAAAAATAAATTCAATAAGGTTCAAATACAAATAAGATATTCATAAATGCTTTTCCTTTTAGCCGGATCAACTTCAAGTTCATCTATGTTAACTTCAATACGAGGCCATATACTTTACACTTTGCAACTACCTTGACTAGATGAATCCTCAAAAGTTGATTTTCTTTTAAAGAAATTTTCCATAACTAAACCAACATAATCAAGTAAACCAACATAATCAAGTAAACCAACATAAGCATCTTCCTGGACTAATTACTAATCAAGTAATCAACAAATAACAAGTAACATAAGCATCTTACTGGAACTACATTAACAGATTAACTAATTACTAATTAGTCATTACTAATCCAAATTACCAGATTATGTAATTAATGATTAACTAGGGATAATCCACAGTTAGTATTTAGTAATTAACTAGTAATTAACAGATTAGTAATTCACATAAGCATAATCCATTAATCCACAGTTATAAAATAATATAATGAATTAATTAGACAAAATTAGGGATTGAAGACTACTTTGACCTAATTAGACAGAATTAATTGGGCAAAATTCAGGAATCAGTGAAATTGCATCAGTGAATCATATCAAAATTAAAAAAATAAAAAACACAAAATTAGTGCAATTAGGTCAAAAACTACGGCAGCAACTAGTATCAATTGAATTAGCCAATTAGGAGGAAATTAGGCAAAAAATTAGGAAAATTAGGCAAAGAATAAATGATTGAAATTAACATTTATAGTTCTTGAGATTGTGAGAAGTTGATGTTCAGTAGTAATAGTCGAAGAACTGAAGAAGACCAAACCTGGTGGCTGGTGTCGAGGCGACTGGCGAGGTTGGGGGGAGGGCGCAAGGCAGAGGAGGTGGCGAGGCAGTGGGAGGCGATAGACCGGCAGGAGTGCTGCCGTAGTGGGTGCCTGGGCGGTATGCGGTGGCGACTTCCAGAATCGCAGAGGAAGCAGAGCGGAAGAAACGAGCGAATGAGCGAGCTTGGTGTTAGTCTGGGTGGAGAACAGATATTATTTTTTTAATATATATTTAAATAATAAAGTTAAAGGTCAAGATCCAAATAATTATAATAATTAGAAGTGTACAATTTTTTTGGTTTATAAAAGGGAAAATTTCAATTTTGGTCTACTGACTATTAGAGTTGTGTTAATTACAACACTTATTATCAAAAATGTTAATTTAGTATCTTGACTATGCAATTTCTATCAATTTTGGTCACGCCGGCCAAATTACCGGCGAGTTGTGACCGAAAAAACTTAAGTCAACATATGTACCGGTCTTTTCTTGTTCCTTCTGATTTGGGAAAATGAGCAAAGAATTATGCGTCTAATCGGGGTTTGTTCGTAATGAGCAAAGATTACATAGATGTAAACCTAGGCCATCAATACAAACAGTGGTTGCTTATGCAGTTATGCGTCTTCATTTTGATACTATATTCATCGCAATTTTCCGGAGTTCCACAGGCGAAGGAATGTTTCAGTGATTTATTATTAGATTGCAGATCAGACATGGTAAAAATTGAAAGGCAGCCAAAGAAACTGAAACTTAGATCTATATTTCTTTCAGAAACATACAATATTTTTGCCCTTATCAATCGGAGACGATACCGGACAAAAACATTCACATTTCAGAAAGGGAACTTATTCTTATTTAAATGTTCCATTATTGATAAGAGTTGCGATGAACACTCATAGTTGTTTGAAGGATGTGAGCTCTCTGAATTTGTCCCAAGGTCTATCATAAACGACGGCCTCGTACTTATTCCCGGCGCCGCCGTCCTCCGCGATGATCACAAGCTTGTAATTCATGCCGGCGACAACCACAATCGGCGGCTTCGGCTTGTTCTTCGACCCCGGTGGCCTCCTCCTCGGCCGCCGACCAGACCCACCTCCGTTCTGCTCCTCCCCTTCTTGCTCATTATTCTCCCCGCGGCTCAGGCTCACCTCCTCTTCTTGCCCATAGTTCCCACCCTCACTAGGGTTTTGACTTTGACTCCCACTATTGTTCGGCTGGTGGCGATATCGCCGCCGCCAATAAACTCCGGCTCCCTCCTCAACCCAAGATGACTTTTCATCTCCATTTGGTTCATAGCTAGAGTCCCAGTCCACCACCTATTTGTCATAGCCTTCCCTTGAATTCCGGCCTTCACCACAAATCTATCCACTCTGATCTCTACATCTCAGATTCTGATAACGCTACTGTACTATACCTTTCTCAGTACAGATTCAATTTGTTTTCCCAAATCAGAAGGAACAATAAAAGACTATTTTACCCTTTCCAATCAGTACATATGTTGACTTAAGTTTTTTCAGTCACAATTCGCCGGTAATTTGGCCGGCGTGACCAAAATTGATAGAAATTGCATAGTCAAGGTACTAAATTAACATTTTTTATAGTCAAGTGTTACAATTAACCCAACTCCAATAGTCAGTGGATCAAAATTGAAATTTTCTCTTTATAAAATAAGTTCAAAAGTATTAATAAATATGTATAGAAGATAATAAATTTAAGGAAAAAGAGTCAAATACGCCCTCAAACTTTTACTAAAAAGTCAATTAGTCCCTCCAACTTTTTAAAGGTGCAATTACACCCATGAACAATGCATTTTGATACAATGAAGCCCAAATACAGGTAAATGACCTGCTATCATAGGTCATTGAAGATCCGGCGACTTTCCGGCGTGTTTTCAAGCAAAAAAGTGATCGGCCATCGGCGAACGGTCGCCGGTCACGGAGAAGGCAACCACTAGGTCGCCTTCTCCGGGGAGAAGGCGACCATAGGGGTCACCTTATCCGGTCGAGAAGGCCACCACCGCCGAATCTTCAATGACCTATGATAGCATGTCATTTACCTGTATTTGAGCTTCATTGCATCAAAATGCATTGTTCATGGGTGTAATTGCATCTTTAAAAATTTAGAGGGGCTAATTAACTTTTTAGCAAAAGTTTGAGGGCTTATTTGACTCTTTTCCCTAAATTTAATAACAACTATAATATTAAAAAAATGATATTATAATGATTTAAAATGGTTACAAATTTTGAAAAACTTTCTTGTATACAATGTTTGTTGTTGAAGTTGTTTTGTTACTATTACTATCACAAATCAATATTTTCAATCAATATTTTGCTGCTATCAATTTTTTGAATTGAAATTCAAAATAAATAAAAAAATTAAATAAAAAATATCTATAATATTAAATTAAATAGAAGATTTCAATTCTATCTAATTAGAAGAAATTCGACATATCTATTTTGAATTTGAATTTTTTATTCTATTTTAATAAAATATATTTTCATTTTATATTTATATGAATTCTTAAATTCCATTTCAATATTATCTTCAATTACATTATACATCTTTGCACGACACATTTATATTATCAAAACAACATGTTCAAGGTTTAGGTGGTTCACAAGTGGTAACAATAATTCAACATATTGGTCCCAAAAAGTATACCTTAAAGATTTATCCCTGTATAAAATAAAATAAAGCATAGTTGTTTTAAAAGTAATAAAATAGAAAAGTAATACAACTATATATATATATATATATATATATATATATATATATATATATATATATAAGAAAAGTAGAATTAAATATGACTTACTGATGATCTTGAATAACAATTTTCATGAATCTTTTCTCTCGGTCATTAACTAATATAGTGCAAGGTGATTGTATAGATAAAATAAAACCAATCAAATCTATTTTAACAAATACAGAATTGTGAATGAGTAAATGTGACAACATACGTTAAAAGATGAAATTATGATATAATTTAAAAATATTACCAAATAACTCTGAAGAAATGATTTGTTCTGTTTTAACTATTTATTATTTTTAACTTACTCATTAATTTTTATAAGAAAGGTTTTAGGTTTGAACCACATCACAATTAGAATTGGCATAATTGTTAAACATATACTACGAATATGTTAAAATGTATATATATATATATATATATATATATATATATATATATATATATATATATATATATATATATATATAATTTAATATAAACTTTGATCAAGTAATTAGCACGACTAAATACATAGCATTCAAAGTTGAGCATCAAAGATTATAAACCAGGAACTTTAAAAATCATTTGATTTCCTTGCATTTAAAAAAAAAAAAAAAACAAATTTAAGTTAAGTTTTTTTTTTTTTTCCGTTTAATTAATCTTCTTTTGATTATTTAGAACAAAACTTAATATTTCAATTATACTTTTGCATTATTGGCATGATTTAGGTCATTATGGTATTAATATTTTTTGTATGTATTTTTATAATGGTACAATTTACATTACAAATATTATATTACGGAGTATTATTTTTTTATCGAACAAAATTGTTTTTACATCATTGTCATACCTGCGCGACCTAACTACAAAGTTGTTGATCATAAATATAATTACACCTGGACTCTTAAACGGTAGGACCAGTTTCCAAAAAATTGGCTATGTTGACATCCCACTGGCTACAATTGAACAAGTTTACACATCCGAATTGTATCAATGCATGAAAACTTCTAAAGAAATTTGTAAGTTAATTTTTACTATATCATTATAACAATATTTTGTAACCATATATTTTGAATTATTTATTATCATCCTCGATTGACAAGAATTGTAGCAATTGCCATTGACAAACTGTCAAAACAATTTGTCTCAACAATGAATGTAAATTAAAAAAAAAATCAATGATTTAATTATTGTTGATGAAAAGTATGTACAACACTTTATTACTCTTATTAAATTACTAGTTTTTCTACGCGCTTTGCGCGAATAGGATAATGCATGCCTAATACTTACTTTTAAATAAGTATTTCAAAGTATATCAATGTAATATTATATAGAAGATGTTCATGCAAAGGTAAATAAATGTTGAATTTGTTTATTTAAATCGGTAATTTAAAGTATATAAATGCAAGATAATATATGAGAGATTGATTATATATAACTGTCACAAAAATAAATGTTTGCAACTTTGTAATAACGTTAATCTAAGTACTAAAGGGGGTGTATTCAATCATGATTTTCATAAAGTTTTAAAGACTTTTATGAACTTTAATAGTTTGGAGATATTCAAATCAAACTTTTAGAGAGTCTTTAAAAGTCATGCGGTATTCAATCAAGATTTTTAAAGAGTCTTTAAAAGTCGTGTGGTATTCAAAAAGTTATGAACTTTTGTAGACTTTTTAATTTTAAGACTTTTATAGATTTTTTCTTCTCAAATATAAATAGTTGAAATCCAACCATCAATCCCCAGATTTCAAAATTTTCTTTCTAACAACTTTAAATGTTTTCTCTCTCTATTTAAACTCTATCTTTTCTCCCAATTTAAACTTTATAAGCCTATCTAAATTTAATAAAATTATTTTTTTCTTCATTATCTTATATTTTCCTCATACCTAAACTCTACCATTTTTTCTCTCTCTCCTAAACTTTACAATTTCCTCTAAAAATTCGAATACTTCATTATTGCTTGTTTATATTGATTTTTATTTTTTTTATGAATTTTTTATCCCTAACTTTCTCTAATTCTCCCTAAATACATGAACAAAGCAAAATTTTCATCATCAAATTTTATATTATATGTTTCACAATATTCATATAAATATTTATATATTTTGATTTTTATTCTTTTTATGTTTATATTCGTAATATATATTTTTCATTTTTTTTAACAACAAGTTACTACGAATAGCGAACAACTGTTCGCAACAACAATTTGGGGTTGCAAACAGTAACACTTTGTTGTTGTTCGCAGTCTCAAATTGCTATTGCAAATAATAGTTCTTTGCGTGATGCCTAGCAATATATCAAGTATAATTTTTTATATATATATTATAAATATTAGATTTTTATTTTTTTATTTTATGCAACTTGTAATTATATTTTTAAATATTTTATTTGATCAAATTCTTTTATTATAAATTTTATTATTCAATATTGTTATGAATTTCTAATGAAATATTTTTTTTATGTTTATTAATGAT